AACAGAATCGCCAAAAACGGTAAAATGGTTCGATGTTCATTACAGAGTCTCATTACGAGGCTTTTGTTCTTAATAAATAGTCAAAAATATCTTTACCTACGAACCCGAAAGCGATTGCGGATTTATGTCGGGATTTTAATCAGTTTTGGTTTTTGTTTTTTGCTTTCGCAATTTCGACGATTTGTCTCTCTTGCTGGGGACGATTAATAAGCTCGTCTAACGGTTGCTTAAAAACTTCTAATCTAGAAATTATTTCAATCATCAAGGAAATACTAACCAGCTGGTATCAGGTTACATAAAATACGTTGATGTAGTAATAGGCGAGAGCACGGTATCCTCTCGCCATGTCAGAGATGTAGCACCCGATGCTAATATATCTTGAAGAAGGGTAGTCTGGTGTTGGCTAGATTGTATAGTCGATCCAAAGGCAAGGGTGACTATGTCGTGCAAAGTAAGGCTAAAGGCTTTATAGTCTTGCTTTAAGCTCCACGGAGGTTAGGAGCCCACTCACTATGTCACTAGTACCTGAGGGTAGAGATGACATAATTGGTGTACATGTGGAAACTAGTATGTCCTGTCCCCAGTTTGGACGCAGCTATTAACTAATGTGTGAGTCGTGACTGCTGGGTATGGCCATTCGTTGGGTATCGTGGTGGTTGTGGTTCCTATCATTCCCAAAGCGAATAATTAGAGTGAATTATAGGCCTCAGTACTCCCCAGAGTGGGTTAATTGAGCCATACTCCATAAACATAACTGGTTTCTCCAGTGTGGCTTAAGCCCCTAGCTAAAAGGAATTGCCTAACTCTCTGGAGGACGCCGGTTACGCAAAATTAACTCGTGTGTCATCGGGCACCGTGGGGTTACACCGACAAGGTGGTATACAAGACAAAACGATTTACTTATATTTATACCCACCGCTGTAAGATGGGGGTATACTCATAAATTCAAAAGTATATATACTCTTGATCAGCGTGAAATTCTGAATTGTTTTGGCCATTTTTGTCCGTGTGGGGGTCTGTGTCGTGTTTGTAGTCGGCAGTCTCCTGTTCAAAATCCGTAGAAACTTTAGAAATTTTTGCACACAGGTTGGTATTGAAAATGGACTAAATTGGTCGGAACGGAAGCCTGCAATAGAGCAAAAACTGAACACAACTCTCTCTTTTTTTAACAAAAATTTGAATGCTGGTATTTTCCATGTTTCCTTTACATAGCACAATACCCTTACGTGCAAAAATGGGAAAAATCGGCTTGAAATTGAAATAGCCTTCAATAAGAAGATATTCGTTGAAGATTCGCAATTTATTGGCCTCCTATATAGTGATAATATTGGTAAGAAAAGCGAGACACTGTCCAAAGGAAGAAAAGCAAAATGAAATCTACCTCACGCTAAGTTAACATTTAATACGTTATAGCAAAGAAAATGAATAAGATTAGAGGTTGCACTCGTTACTTTTACTAGTTGGAGAAAAAAAATTACTGACGCTGTGTGGAAATGATTTTTCACCTCCTTCTGACACCGAAACAAGTTCATTTAAGACTCTTATTACTCTTTCCTACGAAATCGAATTTTTGATTTTCATTTCACTCGAGAGCAATTCATACAACATAAGCACAATATGGCTGCAGAATTTTAAGAAACTCTTCATTTTACGGTTATGGATATTTATTTATTTTAATAAAAATTCCTGACGTGGAATCACTCTAGATCAGACCAAACTACGGCCAGTTTATGGCCTTCGATATTGAATAAAAACACGATCGATGTCGTACGACAATAACTTCACTATTGATAGATCTTCCATTCTATGGCGAAATTTCCCTTTTCGTCAGAGCGAGTCTATGGCCTTCGATATTGAATAAAAAGACGATCGATGTCGTACGACAATAATTTCACGATTGATAGATCTTCCATTCGATGGCGAAATTTCCCTATTCGTCAGAGCGAGTCTACGGCCAGTTTATGCCTCTAGATATTAAATAAACTCGATCGTTAATGAATATGTCAGACGACAACAATTTGACGATTGAGAGAACTTCCATTCGATGGCGAAATTTCCCTACTCGTTAGAGTATGTTGCATATGAGCGAGTTTTAATTGAAATTTCTTCACCTCATAAAATTTCATTTCAAAAAAAGTAAAATATATCTTGGGCGCGTTTGAAGACTCTTGTTTTGCAATAAAAACATAGTCGGTTCTAGAAATTTCTATATTCCAACCGATTCGAGATTTGCTTATGATATAATCTGGCTAATCAGTTAAAAAGATTTAGTAACTCACCAAGAAAAAAAAGGGCAAATTAAGGGTATCTGTGTTTAAATGGAAACTGAAGATTATTTGAATGGATTATATGGATTCGAAAAGTAATCACATAATCTCTTCTTTCGTTACTCTAGAGATACTTTCATCCGATGTTGTTGGACTAGCGGTGCAATTGGGTTTTACTTTTTCTCAATTAACTTTTTTTGCCTTAAAATTGATGTCATGGACGTGGCGGATGTTTATTTTCGGCACTACCAGTCAAATTGCACAAAACGTGAAATGGTGACTTTATTGCATCATTGATTTAAAATTGTCTATCGTATAGTCTAATGGACGGATTCTATTGTCAGCGCAGCCGGTCATATGTAACTACGAATGACGTTAATCCTTGCTTATGCTCGATAGGCAAAGGCGTAACACTTCTTGATTGGACCTACAACTCTCGGGCTCCCCGCCGAGATATAGGCACACATTTTCTGTATGCTCATATACCCTGGATGAAATGGCGTATATATTTCCGATTTTGATGTTGAGAGGCTCGAAAATATCTAGAAAATCTATTATAGATATAAAGAGAATTTTTCTGAATGCGCTACAACTGTAAGCGGGTTAAGTGAATTTTAAAGTCCATAATAAGAATTTGTTATGGTTATGCTTTAATCCCTATTATTCATTAAGTAGAGTAAAACCATAACCTTCTTCTTAATTTTATTATATAAAAACTTAGAAGCACAATGGTGTAGATAACTAGACAGTAAAATCCTAAGTGACTAATGAAAAGTATGGTATGAGCCAGCTATCTCTTCGTCACTTCTTACTTTTATCTTTTATAATACGCATTACTTGAAATTCATGGCAAAGCGTCCCGAACAGTTGTAATTTTTAAACTCATCTCATTTCGAATCCGTCAGGTAAGAGGGAACGCAATTCCGACATTCATTTACTTACTTAACAAAACATGAAACAAGCAAGCACCGAACTTGTAACGTTTTAAATTCATATCCTTGGATGTCAAGGGATTTCCGTGTATTTTGTACTTAATAAAAGCACTTTCATATATGATACATACACATATAACGTAACATGCATGAAATGTACAATTATTTAGTATTTACCCTCCATTTTAATATTGTTTCTTAAATCAAACAGTACTCTTTGGATAAAGACTTCATTTTGCATCTCGGAATGGAAATATAATAAGAAAGAGTAACAAACTGTATTAATCAGCAAATGAATGAATATGTTGCAGTGAGGCAAGGCTTGCTACCGTACAGTTTCTTCCAAATTCAATTCTTCACATTGCATATAATTGCCAAATAAAATTTTCCTTGTGAAAGTGTTCGATGAAGATAGGTCGATTTGGATTGGAAATTTATATATGAAATTAAATTTTCAATTTTTATCGAGAAATATATAAAATGGAAAATAAAATATAATAAAAAAATTGACTTGAAATGATTAAACCTAATCTGTTTTCAAGGCTACGATAATACGAGTCTTTCGCAAATTCCCAGTGGTCGCACACATTCACGCAAATTCAATATACCATGTAGGGTATAAAAATCCCGCAAGACTGCATTGAGTTTGAATAATAATTTTAATTAATTCGCAACTTTAATAGAGTTGACAGTTAAATTATAAGTGAAAATTACTTTAAACATATATCTATATAATGTTTTAGCGTAAACTGAATGACATACGTGAAAATGTAAGAAAAAACGAAAGACGAAAAAAAAATATATATATATATATGAAATAAAAAAATTAAATTTAAATAAACAAAAATCTCCAGACATGAACTCTAAAGTATGATTATTGTGTATAATCTCTATATATGAGTATATATATGTATATATATATATATATATATGCATATATATGTATGCGTGCGTAAATGTTTGACATAGCAGTGGTTGTTGTTTTTGCAAACTGACAGTTAAAACTTAATAACATTACGTGCAGGTGCTAAAAGAATGAAAGAATTTCTGACATTTCATGCACGGCAAGTAAATCTTTATGAACACATGCTTACGTGCATTAAGGCAAGTGTCTATTCATTATATCATATAAACAGACGGACAGATAGACTGGTAAACAGATAAGGGCAATAACGGTGTATTCGTTATTGCTAAAGTGATTTTAATGAATGAAAATTGCGTCTACATCAAGTATTCTCGAGTGCTATTACACTTGCACAACTGCAGATACAAATACACGCAGTTACACAAACGTATTATTATTATTATAATAAATTGACATCGTAGCAATGAGAGAATAATAATATGCGATGAAGAAGAAGACGAAGAAGATAATCAAGAAGGAAAATAACATTCACACACACAATCCTTCGCTATCAATCATAACGTATATTATATTTATTTCAATTTTATAATTTAATAAATAAGAGTTTTAAATAAATAATTTTTTTAATGTTTTTACTTAAAAATTCAATTTAAATTCTATTTAAATAAGAAATTACGAACAAAACTTTGTGTGCACAGAAAAGACGTCATATGATATATCTTCGCCTTTCCAAAGGATTCTTAAGTACATTACTCATACACATACACACACACACACATACACACACACATACACACATACACATAAATACATACACACAGTATTACACATATTCATATTCATATATGTATATATATATTCATCACATATATATACTCACTCATTCATACGCACAAATACTTAGTATATATCCAACATATATGAAAGTCTGACTCAGAGGACAAGAAGAATTATTTCTTAGATTTTTGTAGAATTTATTATAATATAATGGTATGTTTATGTGTTTTTGCCTATGTGTATGCATGTAAGTGTGTTCGTGTAACTATGCGTTTAAATTTGTGTATTTGTGGGTTCGTGTGTCTATGTACAGTTGTTACACTGATTTAAAGCCTGACAGCTGGTACGCCCTGGGGTGCAAAGAGCATGTCGGCTGCCAATTTGAGTTTTTCATTAACCAATCTGGCAATTTTTGGTGTGCGACGCCAGACAAACTCACGCGTACGGTCATGATTGTCTTTACTTTCAACTTCGACCTGTAACGAAAAAAAAAGCAGAAAAAAATTCCAAAATATAATATTTTCGTGTTGTTTATTGGCAACACCTTCTCCCCTTACCCACAGCATATATACATATATAGATAGGAGCATGTGGATGGGGTGGTCGATTTTAGATATATTTACCTGTTTTGGTTGTTGAACTTTAATTGATATCAGTGTAGCGCGATCGTTAACAACACCGAACTTAATGCGTCCGATCATTTCATTGGTGCGAGCAGTAGCGCTTTTCACATTCTCAACGCCGGCACGTTTGAATGATTTTTCAACGCGTAAAATCAAGGGCCCCAAAGTAAATTTAGCCTTAATTGTTGAGTTGCGGCCTTCCGGGTCGGTAACCACTTTAACGTTGCCGACACGCTTCAATGACGCTAAACCAGTTAGACTACCTTGAGCCTTTTGCACTTCTCCGTCCTTACTAGCTTTATCAATTTTGTTGTTACTGTTAATAGTGCTGGTGGAAGCGGTTTTTTGTTTTTTTTTAACATTGTTGTTATTGCTATTTACGGTCGTTGTACTAGCGCCCCCAGCATTTTGACCTTTTTTCACTGCACTCTGCTTATGCGACTTGGTGGAAGTTTTTCTACTCTCGTGACCCGATTTGACGGCAGCCTCATTGACAAATGCAGTACGCTTTTCCGGCTGTCTGTTATCGTTGTCTTCAGTTTGGGTTTCAGTCTTTTTTTCATTATTCGGTACACCGGCATCGTCATCAATTTGCTTGTTTTCTACAATATACTTATGTTGCTGCAGTTGTTGTTGGTGGTTTTGCAATTTTTCCAATTGCTGGCGTTCTTGTTGCAGTTGGGTTTGCGTTTTCGATTCAATTCGTTTTTCGTACTCTTGGCTTGCACTTGACAGATTTTGTTCGCTGTTGCCAATAGTGTTACTATCTGCTACGGCTTCTATTGACGCCGTATGAGTGCGTGGCTCAGATTTCGTATTTTTTCTACATAAACAAAAAAACATAATATATATATATATATATATATATATATATAGAAAATACATATCATACTAATAGAAATGATAAATAAATAAATAGATAGGAAATCAATTCGGAGCAATCGTGTGATTGTTGCCGTTAAATTATTTATTAAGTTGAACGAATTTTGAACTATCGCTTGTGTTTGTTATATCAATAAGATTGCCTTGTATAAAAGAACTTACAATTTCTTTATCGATGTCTTGGCCGGCGAGGGCTTGTTGCCTTTTGCTTTACTTTTATTATTGCTGGCGGTGTGGCTTTGTGTTTTTTGTATATTCGGTTTCATTGCTGTCCGACCGCTTAGCTGTACAATGAAAGGATCGTAGCTGTTGGCCACAATTTGATTAATACGAGCGAATATTGCATCAACAAAATGATTATTACGTTCCTGGAATGCATCCGCAGTCATATCGATTATGTTGTTATTCTTTAATGAACCTAATTGGAACAATTAATCGAACATTATGTCATTTTCAAAAGTGTTTCACAAATTTCTAGATATGCGTTTCGCTTTCAATGTTTTGTCTCTCTTTTTACAACAATTTATACAATTGCCTATACGATATGGGTGTGCAGCATATTAAAGCAGAATTATTTAAGTTTCTCAAATTTTCTACTTCGAAGAAGATAACTTTCAAAAGGAGTATTAACCACAAATGCTTCTTAAGCAAATAATAATAACTTAGTAAGTAAAAGAAATAATCTGCTCTAGGGCTTGCGGTTGTTTTTGAATATGAAAATATTTGGCATAAATGCTTCATTGCTTTTCCTTAAAACGCAATGAATGACTCGATTCACTAATAATAATAATAATAATAATATTAATAATAATAAGTCTAACCTCAAATATTTCATTCTGAATTATTTGAATTATTTGAATTATTTAACGTAATTAAATTTGCTGCTTTCTTAACCTTGAAAATTTGAAAAGGACAAAGCACTGCACTTCATTACAAGCTTTATATATATATATATATTGCAAGGTTCTAAAAACATTTCCTATAACAGCATTAATAATAATTAAACTTGTTTGCAAACTATAATTATGATAAAATGCTTTTTTATAGAATAATAAAAAATAAAGAGAAAACTCATCTATGAAAACGAGTCCTTTCAAATACATGTTAAAGTCGCGCAAGGCCGATCTCATTAAATACCCTACACCATGTCGCATCATGTTCTCTTCATAAAATACGACAATTTATATATTCTTCATACGTACAACAACACTTTTTATGAGAATCCTTGTACGGAAGGGACGCTAAAATGTGAGTCCAAGGGCGTCCGACTTTAGCAAAGCTATTTATTATTATTATTTTTTTTTTTTTTCTTGAAACACATTCACCATGAAGCACGAAATTTTAAATCTTGTTGCCTTATAAATACTTAGTTCTCCTGAGTGTCCCTAAAAGAAAGGCGGTCAGAAAATGGATCTGTGTTGTCGAAAGTTACTGCCATAAAAGCAGACTTTGTTATCGTCTGAAGGCTTATTTTTTGTACGAACATATATATGATAGGTGCATCGAAAAACGCTCCTAGCCATTCCAAACTTCCGCTATTTACTTAGTATGCAAAAATTTGACATATTTTGTTCATCAATTTTTGTTAAGTAATGTTGAAATGGAAAGAAGGTGTGATCGTAAAAAAAGGTCCCATCCAGTTCAGTGCTCAATCAAAGCATATAATGGTATTAAGTTATTAACTCAAGACAGCAATTTACGAAATGAACACAAAAATAGGTGAGCTATAGCTCATCTATAGCAGAAAGCTGGATACGACTTATTTCGAAATCGATTCACAAAATGATATTGAAACGATTTCCACAATAAAACACTTCTTTTCCGTATTGCATACGAGCGATGTAGGAAAAAAAATGTTGTAAATATTTTTCGACTTAGGTCGAACCTTTTTTTAGATACGTCCAGGTTATATAAATATATACATATATATATATATATGTATATATATATAAAATATATTAAATATCCGATCGAACGTAGATTTCCTTGACACACATCTTGTCATGTTTATATTTTTAATCAATGTGTCAACAACACAGTTATATTTCCGCTATTCCGCCGTATCTAAATGTGATTTTCATGGTAATAGTAAGCGAACCTAAGATGTTTCGTTGACTTTCAAGAAAACTTCGATATTAAATTTGCATTTCCAGATAAGGAAAAATATGGGATATCTCTGCATAGTCATGAATAGGATAAGTCGTTTTTTCATTATTTAACATTTTAAAGCGTTTGAAATGCATTTTCCGACTCGTTCGTCCATTTCGCAAATCGAATACAACTCCTGTAGGGGCCATCATACAACAATAGTATTGTATTTAATTTGCATATGTACGCTAAGTAATGACCACATATGTTATGTATAAGATAACCTAGATAGCTCTATGACAATCGTAAATGTATATCAAGGTATACCGTGATACATATATCATTCTTTACTTTAGCTAATAAAACGTTTTCATATACGAGACAAATTTCTATCACTAACACCGCATGAGCTGATGGCACCGAAGCAAATAGCTTGAACATAAATTCTTAATGTAATTATGTTTATTTCTTACTTCAGTTCAGTTAAATTGAATACAACGGAGAAGCTGTAACCGATTTATATAACGCACGAATTGATGCCCTACATACTGACTTTTATAATGCTCTCATACTTGACCTGTTCTAGACTTTGTTCCATCTAGTTAATAGCATGAAGCATATAGCTTAGTTAGAAGTGGGCTCTTACGTAAATGCTAAAAAAATTTTAATTATGTTAGAAACGAAAAAGCTTTTATGGAAAGTACTATATAATGAAAAAAAAAAAACAAGTGTATTGAAATTTTCGATGTCTCGCACAACATCTGAGTTTACGCGTCGTAATTATTTCTACATCTAATCTGTATTAAGCTGTACAAATAAAGAGACACCCATCTAATCGACATTGTAGCATTTCTGAAGAGCATGATTCAAATTTTAGAATTTTGCAAAAGCAAAATTGAGGAGGGGAGGGGCAAAATTACTGGACTCATCATTCATCTCATTTCAATTAATTGTCTTCGATTTAAGGTAAGGTAAGGTTCGTCAATTTGCATAGAAATAAAACTTAAGAATTTCAATAGCAAATGAGGAAAGAGGATTAGCAACTCACACCTTTCAACTTTTTGTGTACGTCCTTTTTTTTTTGTTTTTTTTTTTTTTTTTTTATTGCAGACATAAAAAGAAAATCCATACCACCTAGTCTGAAATGTGAAGTAAATTGAATGACATTTAAATAAAATTGCATAATGTGTGGTGCTATATGCAAAAGATAATCTCATGAGATAATTTAACGCTTTATGCCCAGCTAGTTGAAGTTTGTACAAGTTGGAGTGATTTTGAAACAACAAAAAAAAACCATTAAAAAAGTGTTTAATTTTTTTTTCTTTTTTTTTGAGAGTCAATCTCGAGTGCCCAACAAAGGACTGCTTTGCTCATTGCCGATGGCAATAAGGAATTGATGGAAGATGGTGTACAAGTACTTTGTCAACTTTTTTTTTGGCAAATGTGTTTAATTGAAATCTTCTTTCAATAGCGTATTAATTATTTATGATGATATGGTTTTTTCTTTTTTGTTTTGTTGTTACGAGAGGGTCTCATCAGCGAATTTTGCCTGCTTTCAGAGTTTTTCCTCTCTCTAGAAGACAAACTTTCTATTAAAAACTTTGCAACCGTCAGAATTTCAATCAAAAATAAAAACATAGCAATTGACAGAATAGAGGATAAATCGGAGAAAACTGTTATGCTGTTGGAGAACATGTATATCTTATGATGGCTCCGATGCGTATTTTTAGATGATATATAATTTTGGCCTTTGAAAAAATTGCGACTAACAAATCGAGAGCTATACTCCAAGTTTTTTTCTTAGAAAAGATCATCACGGGCGGTACCTTTTCTTTTCATATGCCTTCAACATAGACACACACCTTGGTTTTCTGAGTTTTCTTTATAAATTCCCTAAAGATGTCCTAAGCGGGACGAAATAATTTCCTTACAATTTTCTACTTTCAGGTTAGTTGAAAAAGAAAAAATATATATATATATATATATAAACAAAAGACCCTTCAATTATTACAACATCCCTTCAAGTATAGATGCGTCCGTCTATGTAATCTTTTCACCGCTAATGAATGGACGTCAACTTATGTTATTGCACCCTCCTGTCGTGGCAGCTGTCGTCACATATTATTCTATGCATTAATATAAATTTATGCTTGACATAGTCTATTCATCCGTTTGGTGTTATTTGCTAAAATTCTCAATGTTGAGAAAATAACAAGATAAAGTAAAATATTTACAAATGTATACAAAATGCTCGAATTAATGGGCAAACTTAATTATGCAACAACGCGTCAAATATTCGAGCTTAGCAAAGTCAACTATCAAAGCAGAGTTTGCACCAATTTCGTATAAGGTCTGTTACAAAAAAAAAAAAAAATTCCCCTTTTTCGATACGCTCTCTGTCCAAGAGTTCTTACGAAGGGAGTAAGCCTTTAGTTTCTGACGTAGATAAATTAAACATTGTCGGCCTTGCCCGACTGTATTGTTTTTTTTAAAGAAATTTTTATATCTGTGTGTCGCTCCCGCAAAAATGATTGCGAAAACATTTGACTGCGTATATGAATAGTTCATCGTTACCGATAACTACACGATTAATATATTGTTCATAAAAAGTCATAGCATTCGATTAACTATAACTATTACACTGTCATTAATACTTACTGTTCATTTTGTATATAGATTATAAGAAAAAAAAATAAAAAAAATAAAAAAGAAGGAGAGAAGAAGGCGTAGTTTAGAGATTTAAAAGAAACGTGAAGAAATGAAAGAGATGATCATTTAAAGGAGAATAGAAGAAGAAATTATTTATTAAATTATTTTACATACAATTAACGCTTGAAAAACTCATCAATGAAATGATCAGTTGTTCAAAGTAGTTTTAATGGCTAAACCACGCCTCCTTATTTGCCGCAATTAACCAAAAAATGAAGTAAAACACATATTTATAACCAAAAGAATTTTCTTTCATTTTAATGCGTAATGTGTGCGTACATATTAATTTTAAGGACACGGAAACTAAATTTTACAACAAAATCAACTTAACGAATAATTTTATAAAGAATTACAAGTTTTCTAAGACGTATCATCCTTTAGCTAAATTCTATGATTTGTTGACTTTTTCTTTTTACGATTTGTGTCGTTATTGTTATGCGTTTTCTTTTTACTTTTTTTTTTTCTTTACTTTACCTTTCCTTTTCTTGTTTTTGTACGTTTTCCTTTTCCTTTTTGTTGCTTTTTTTTTTTTTTTTTTTTTTTTGTTTATTTTTGCTTTATTTTATCTAATTCGGTAAATTATGCAAAAATCTGTTACAGAGATTTCTGCGAAACATGGTCATAATAGACGAAAACAAAAAAAAAAAAAAAAAAAGGAAAAAGAGCAAGGAAAAAGCAACTCTTGCTTGGCAAGAAAGGAGGAGAAAATTCAACACAAATTCAAGTAAATCGAGAAAAACCGACACATAATAAATTTTTCAAGCGTTTCAATTATGGCATCACAACATCCATCACATCGAATGAATATTGTTTTTATTTGCCGTGCACTGGGATAGCCTTAGTTAAAGGAAAGGATACACATAGAGTGAGAGAGAGAGAGAGAGAGCAAGAATAAAAAGAGAAGGAATAAAATAAATGAAGAAACGAGATAAGAGGAAATTCGATAAACTGTTGATGTTAAAGTTAAATTTCGCATCCAAAAGACATAACAGCACCGCCGCATATGAAACGTTCATATATATAATTTTTCGTATTCGCTTTCGTTTTCTTTTCATTTGTTTTACTTTATATTGAATTGACAATTGCCTGGCGAAATGTAAAACAGCTTAACCCGAATTCTTTAAATTGAACTTTGATATGATCGGAGAGAGATATTAAGAGGCAATCGCTTTATTTTTGTAAAACTTAACTTGAAGTCGAACCTTGGGTGTCGCTTTGACCAATCTTATGCTGTTATGTTTTTCCGACGCGTAATTCAATCATATGAACGAATGTATGTATGTATATATATATATGTATATATACATGTACATAAGTAAGTGAGAGTGATTTTGAGAGAGTTTTAAGTAAAATCTTTGAAAATTTCATTATATTATTGTTTTCTTCTTTTGCTGGCGTTATTTTGTTTTTGTTTGAATAAATAAATAAATAAATTACAAAATAAATAAATAAATACAAATTAAATAAATTAAATAAATTTAAATTATAATTAAAATAAATAAAT